GCTGTTTTATCCTATCGGCTATCGGCAGGGTGTTCATTTTTATTACCAACTTCCAATGGCCTTTGACGGGGTGCATCCTCCCCGTCTTTTCGAAATAGATTCCCGGACTAGAAGCGAATTGTTCCAATGAGTATGGCGTGTCTAAAGATTGTCCTATTACGAAGCATGCCCCTAAGGTCAGTCTGTAATAGACGTTTTTCCTTTTAAAATTTATTTCTAATCGAACTTTATCAATTTTTTTTTCTCGTTTAATTTGCCGAGAATCCCGAAGCGTTTATCTTGTGAACTTGAGGAGTCCGATTCGGATAGTCGACGCACGCGTGTGTGTGTGTATAATTTAACGCGTAAAAGTTTATCGCGCTCATCCTCGCCAAGTACGATGCGGTGTCGTGCTTTGGCTGCACATTTTAATCGCGCCTGTCGCGGCACTGAAGACCGATGGATCTTACGTAGCAACCGGAGAAATCAGCAAATTGCTCGGTGGCGTAGTCGCCAGGCTGCAGGTCTTAAAGCGTAAAGCTCAGGAATCCATAGCGGAGGAATTGCAAGTGGGCATGGTGTGCAAAAGAAGATTGGATTACTTGAAAGATCACGCTAATACCTCTCGGAGTGCTGTAAACCAGTGGAGACGACAGAGACTAGACAGAATGTTAGTGGAATATTTTCTTCGTAAGAGATACTACAAAACGGCAACTAAGCTGGCAGATAGCAGCGAGCTTAGAGATCTGACAAATATTAGTATGTAATTTAATGATATTGTGTATACATTAATACTGTATTAGTCGATGGCAATAAAGTAATAATAATAATAATTACACTTTGCTTACCTAAAAGAATGAGATATCAATTTGCAATTATATTTGAAAATTACAGCTTGACAAAAATATTTAATAGGAAAAAAAGAAAAAAAAGAAAATCATACATCATAATATTTAGGTAAAATACAGAAAATATTATATTATATATTTATATTACAAAAATTTTTTAAACAATTTTAAATGCATAAAATCACATATTTACTTTCTATTATTCACATATTTGCTTTCTATTAATCACATATTCGCTTTCTATTATTCAAAAATTCATAAGAAAAAATTAATATATAAAATGATTTAAAAAAAACTTCAATAAAACTAAAAAAATAAGATATATTTTATAAATTTTTTTTTTAAACTTTTGAAAGTTGATTTAATTTTTTATCACTCAAATTAATATTAATTTTTCCTTCTTTAATTAATTTAATCAGTATTTTCATAAATGCAATTTCTTCTTTATTTAATAAATTTTCAGGAATGAATAAATCTGTATTCACGTTATGAATTAAACATGACATTTCTTTATGGATCTTGCGCGCAATACTACCAGCTTTATATGGATCAACTTTGTTGTCGAATAAGAATTGAGTTATTTTCTCGCCTGCTTCAGTCTCGTTCACATATTTTGTCCATTTTTCTCTTCGTTTTAAATCATATTTTCGTTCATGCATACAATTATCCTCCACTTGTTGTATAATGAATCTTAAATGTACTGCTCCGACGTAGCGAATAAGTTCACCTGGTATTTTCTAAAACATAAATATAAATAAAAAATTAATTATATATTTATTAATTATATATATATTTATTAATTATATAATTAATTATATATATTTTAATACTAACAGTAAATTTTAATAGTAATTTTAATACCAATAGTTAATTTTTATACTAATTTAACTAATTTAACTAATTTAATTAATTTAACTTATAAATAAAATATTTATAAATTGGTAGAATAAATGCCTTTAAGAGCCTCATATTATTATTTATTGTAATTTAAAATATTTATATTTTATCTTCAGGATATCTGCTTTTTCCTTTGGTGTCAAAGTGTTATTTTCCATTAAATTATTTACCGTGAATATTTCTATATCACGGATTAATTTATCATCTTTTGGTTTATTATTATTGTTGTGAGAAGATAACGAACATTGAAAATGCGGTGTACCAGTTTTTGACACGTGTAATAAAGTTTAATTGAATACGTTTTTAAAAATATTTCGAATCATCGTTTATGTAGATCTGCAAAATGTAAAAAAATGTAGAAAATGCAAAATGTAGAAAATGTAAAAGATTAATTTTAATTATTAAAAACAAAGACTAGTAAAGTCTTTTATTTATCTAATTTAATTATATAAATAATAAATCTAATAAATTATTAAATGTGTCTCTTGTTCCTACCTTGCTTTTGCACTATAAAATATACTTTTGTAATTACAAAAATTTTTGTGCTTCAGAGCAGCACTATAACGTCTGACACTTGGCACTCAACTGGCTGGAGACAAACTGACACGATCGACGACTTTATTTGTTTTAAAGTTCGTTGGTTTAACGCCAGTAATGTTAACGTCGAGTCTTCAAAGGCAATATAAACAAACATACACCGAGAATCGAAAAACAGTAATTTTCGCTCACTCTCAACTTTTAGTCTTTTGTACAGTAACCATTATGATCTGGATCGAATGATTAAAACTTATTACCTGAAAGTCAGTATTATATAGTTCCATAACCATTACGGTAAAAATCAGTAATTATTCAGGTGCAATATTTTCATAGACATATAAGAGTACACGTACTTTACAAGCCAAAAATTAATTGCTGTGGGCCTCTCGTCGTGCGGAAATCGCGCGGTTGGAGGAGACCCGAAAGGATGAGAGCGCGAAACACGGACACAAGTACAAATAAGTAGGCCGACGATTCGGTAGCACCGTTTTATTAACTTAAAATACAATATGTGAACATTGAACGAGCGAAGACGCGCGCGAGGACTCCGTCCCGATCTGCACAGAGACTTCGCGGAGATGTGACGAGAGTCTCGGAAGCCCGCCAGAACGAGAGTGAGTCCTCAGTCGAAGAGAAAAAAG